GTGGTCATACGATGGATGTGTGATTACTTTAATTGAAAAATAAATCATTCGTTGCGCTGGTAAGGTAAGACGCGTGATACGCTTCGAAGATCTATTCAAATTATCTAAATTATGTTAGCGAAAAGCGTGGGCCTTTGCGCCAGAGTAAAGGCAAACGAAGTATGTTATAACGAAACTAGTGGGAAGGTTTTGTTGTCCTATTTTATACATATAAACCCGTACACTAAAAGCTATATTGCTATTCTAATATTTAAGGTAATTTGTTTTATGCTATCTGTTCTGTAACCAGGTATTATCTGCTTTATTCTATGTCTAGCTTTTAAAAACAGTGAAAACTTACGCCATTATTCGGAGTGTTATTTTATTTTATCGCTTAATTTGTTGTTTGTATTTCTAACTTAGATAAAGAAAAAATGCGCGTAAATGTAAGTCTGTCTAACCAAATCCCTTATTAGTAAACAAGATATAACGTAACGTAAGTTTTGTAACTCTGTCAGAACAACGATTTTTCTGAAACACGTTGGACTCTGGAGACATGGATCTTAGATGAGTAGCTGGGTACAATGAAATTCCTTGCGAGTGACAAACGCCGCCCACAGACGAAACATTTTTTAATTACGTTTCAGTTTGAATCTGTGGATTTCTCAATATCTAAGCCGAAAATACGTCGACAGCACATTTTCTTTAGATTATAGTTATATGGTTGGGGTAAAAAAAATATTTTCTAATTTCTAATTTCTTCTAATTTCTATTGTCCTTTTGAAAAGAAAACTCTTAGGAACTTCAAATTACAAACTCTACAACATAGCGTTGTTATTCGCTTGGTGGTCGATTTAAACTACCACGGCTAAGAGGTACACTACACATCGACATCGCACTAATGACGGCTAAACTCTGTTGAAGCGTGCTAACTTTGTTTTGCTGTCAGTTGACGTCCCGTAACAATGACCGTACCGGCCTGTTACTTGACGTCCCGTAATAATGACCGTATCGATTACTTGACGTCCCGAACTAAACAGTTTTTCTGATAAGTGCAATCAGTTATAACATAGCTGTAATAAATTAATATATTTTAATGGTAAAAAGCTAATTTAGCTTTTAATCTTGAACGTAAGATACTTTATGCTTTTTGGTCTTATACTGTATGGTAATTCCTCCATTCAGCGGACTGCCATAAGAGGTGTGATAAGCTTCACTTGACCCTATACTAAAAACACGTCGTGGGTCCACAAACAATTTGTTAGCCCATACAATTTACCGCTCTCACGGCGAAATAATGAGGACTAACAACTACCATTGACGTATCATTCACATGGCCAAGCGATCTTGTGACTATCTTGATGTTCGTAATGAATGTAAGATAATTATTAATAGAATTAGTTATATACATTTACTTTTTTTTTGTTACGCTACTAATTTCAGCATTATTGACGCTTCAAAATAGAACTGGGGCGGGGATTAAACCTGGAACGAAAAGGGTACTGTGATGTTGCTTGATCAATTGAGCTACCGTGTAATTTGTCCTCTTATTACTTTTTTAAGTTACATCAAAAAAAAATTAAGAGCAGAGAAGAGTTGCATGTATAAGTTGGTAATTAAAGCTGTTAGCTCGAGGGCTCAAGACCCGCCCGAGTCATAAAATATGCAATTGAAAAAATCAAGTCAAATAAACTTTTATGTAGATTACAGAAAAATAAGATGATCATTTTTAATATACCGCCATCTGTGAGAGAATAGTAGCATTACAAATCTTGTTTCTGTCGTACTTGAGCCCAAGATAAACACGATCAGGAAAAAATTGAGGCAAAAGTTCAGTACTATAAAATTTGTAAAACATACAGAAATAAAAAAATTTTTTAAGTATAAATAAAACACGTTTAAAAGCGATATATTAGTTAAGTGTATAGGATAGAGTCTCCCCGTGACCACGGCTGCCCCAAAGCCCCATCCGAAACGTCGAATCTTTTCAAATAAGTTTAACTAATATATCCGTTAAACCGTTAAAGTGTTTTATTTAAATGTGTACCACTCAACTATAGAAGTATTTAATTTTTAAAGGTGGTTACATACCAATTACATATAGGCTACATGATAATTTCCATAAATACATCAGATTTTTGTTGGTAAAGGTCCAATGTCGAATATTTAAAACTAGATATGTTAATTCTATTATGTCTACACCCTTACAAGACTATTGATCAATGTATTATACAGGTAAACAACACATCTTTCTATCGTAGAATAACGAGCCCTTAAAAGATGAAAGCGTGGGTGACGAAAAAGCAAAATCACTTTGTCTTTTCAATTAACAGGCCTTTCTCACTTTTTAAATGAGACCATATATTCCAAATTTAAATTCAGGGTTGGTATTTTTTGTCTGTAAAATTCTTTAATGTAATTATAAATAGAATTTGTTATTTTCAATATTAAAACTGTACGGCTAATTTTTTTCCTAGTTAAAGTACTTTTAATAATATGTTAAATGTTGAACTTGTACATGGTAACTATGCAGCATACAAAATTTAGATAAGTAAAGATATAGAGAAATAGAATTCGCCAATTTTTATGTATAAAGAAATTATTCTTGGCTTCTCTTCAAAGGCATATATTAAAAAAAGCGAACTCCCAAAAGTAACATTATATGTCATTTGTTGCGGTTAATATATTTGATGTTGTGAATAGTTTATTTATTAATATATAATGATATATTTCATTGTGAAGATAAATTACTATTTTCTTATTTTTTAATCATTAATAATTACAGTTTCTCAAATTCCACGACAAATCACATAAAGTTAGCGTTGATTTGACTTTGACATTAGAGACAGCTTTCATCTTCAGTGGCCCACCGTCCGCTACAAAGCCTTCAAAACGTCGGGCTGTAGGTAAATTAACTAATATATTTCCCGTTTAAGACCGTTTTAAGTGTTTTATTTAAATATCTACTACTCGCATAAAGTAAAGACAATACTATCTCGTAATAAAAGACCTCTCAGGAGACAACTAACACTATTAGGAATAATCAAAATTCCAAGGAATTTAATTGACGATAAAAATAGTCAACCCTAAGCGACCCGCCCACACCAAAGGTAAAAATCCCATTGAGCAACTTGGTCACTCTATTAGGAAGGAACGATAGATTTGTCTCGTTACTTCGTTCGTTACTTACGTGTTAAACCGTAAATAATACTCGTGAACAGGCAACCGTTTTTTGCCTTATGAAAATTTGATTACCACAACGCGATACTAATGAGTTAACCTTTAAAGATAGCCATATACCAGACATTTTTTAGATCATTCAACGAAGTGTGTGTGAGACGAAAAAAATGTTAATACACATTTTTAGGTATCTTATATTGTTTTCGCAGCGCACTCAACGGGCTTGCCGTTACGTGCGTTGCAATAAAGAATAATTTTACCCGTTTTTTTCACATTTCCTTGCGATGTCTTATTAACATTAGACCATACCCCTTTGTCTTCTTTAGGTATTAAGATAACGCGGAGCCTGCCAAACGTTCTACGCACTTCTTGGCTTTCATTAAAGCGATCAACTGCGCGTACGCCCAATGTCTTAAGTGGTTTATTAAGTGCCGAAAGCAGTTATTTTTATGTTCCTCGCCTGTTTAATTTGGATACATTAATACTATCTCCGATGATGGGAATTCCCATGGCATGGATTCGCGATTGGGTTACGTAATTGAATGGAAGACTACAAAGATAAAAACCGAACTTAAGAAGCATGACTAGACTAGACTGGAATTAGCAGGACTAATATCGTTTTTTTTTATTTTTAAATATATACTAATAAAAAAATAGTGTAGGCAATTTATAATGAGTGACAAAACAAAAATAATCTTCTGTTGTTGACGAGAGTAGTTCGCATAAATAAAACACTTTTAACGGTTTAAAAAGTGAAATGTAACTACAAATAGTAAACCAATTAATATATTTCGCGTTTATAACTGTTAAAGTGTTTTATTAAAAAAAAAATCACAAAAAATTAACCAGACCTTTTGACAACATATAGGCTTTGTTTCTCACTTATTCTGTGTATGTTTGGTATAATTATGTGGCGGTATGTATATGTTATTAGTCTACGAGTGGTGTTTAAACTTATTATGTTTGATCCTTTAAGTGATATTCACTTCAAACTCTATATACTATGGTAGCTTTGCTGCACATGTCTTTTTCATACAGACGAAAGAATACCATCGTCGAGAGAAGATAGAGAGAGAGAGTTTTTAGGTTAGAAATCTGTCATATAATGTGTGTTTATAATGCATAAAACTATCATAATGTCACAGTATTTATATGGCAGGGAATGGCCACGGCAATTTTAATATTTTATGCAAAGTTTACTGCAATATTGTATCTGTCATAGTTGTTACAAACGGGATCTTGGGGTCGTAGTCGTTAGTGCGCAATATAACTGTACGCTACTCAGTTACTATTTATAACTTTAATATATATTCTTATCTAGGAAGTCCGCGGAGTTTTAAATAAAAGTTTATGCTAACTGAAAAACGAAATAGTCGATTTCCTAGAAATGAGCTTATGATCATAATGTTATGTTACCGGCCTAAAAACGAATAAAAATCTAATATCATACAAAACACTTTTAACAGTTTAAAACGCAAAATTATTGAGCTAACTAATTTAAAAGACGGCCTTACGTTTCGGATGCTTTGCAGCAGCCGTGGTCACGGGGGTAACATGAAAGTGACACATCACTTTAACAGTTAATCATTTGACAATAAATTACAAAATACCTGTCTATAGTTTACGCGAGTAGTACACATTTAAATAAAACACTTTAACGGTTTAAAACGCGATATATTAGTTAAGCTTATTTGAAACGTCGGGTCGAAGTTACAAATCATTTTAAATAAGTTTAACTAATATATCGCGTTTTAAACCGTTAAAGTGTTTTATTTAAATAAGTCATTGTGATTCTACAACATGGCTGTCCTTTATTTGTTCAATCTGTATAAGCACGTGTTTAATGTTTATGAATGGTTCATGCGATTGTATTTATTTTATAGACGTAAGGATTTCTACGGGCGTTAAAAAGTTTATCGTTTAATCCTATCAAAACATTTGCTTAGATACATTCATATCGGTAGACTAGATAGGTGTATTTCTTATTATGAAACTGTACCACAGCTTAAAAGAATTACTAATATACACAAATAAACGACATTACGAAATATTACTTTTCAACTACGCGTGTAAAAACTTAAAGGAGTGAATCTCCCTCCTTCCCTTATTTATTGTAATAAAAATGCTTTTTATTTTTCGAAAGTTAATCAGTGAAACAGTCATACACGTTTTGCACAATCAAAATGCTTTCTACTCTAAGGAAGTCCTAGTCAATGAATTCTAAACAAATCAACACTCTCATGTTCCTATGATTAGTTTGACAAACAACCAAACGGGATTCAAACCAAGACCTCCCGGTTAACGCAAACGTCGACTATTGCCAGTCTAAGTCATTACGATCTGTAGAATTCCAGATATCATTTTAGGAAGCTAAACACGTCAGCGGCTGTTGAAGGAGCCGTGTTGTTATCTCAACAGCCTCTGTCAACACTTGAGCTGACAAGACAGCGCCAAAAGCCGACCTACTGACAACCTTTATTTATTCAACGCTATGGGAAGTTTATCGGTATTTCTGAAAGCCTTCAAATATAAAGAACTGCTCGAAGGATAACTCTACGGTTTGAAAACTTTAATATTTCAAATAAAATACTTTAACGGTTTAAAACGCGATATATTAGTTAAACTTATTTGAAAATGATTTTTAACTTCGGACCTACGTTTCGGATGCTTTGCAGCAGTCGTGGTCACGGGGAGACACGGCGAAACGTCGGGCCGAAGTTCAAAATCATTTTCAAATAAGTTTAACTAATATATCGAATTTTAAACCGTTAAAGTGTTTTATTTAAATGTGTACTACCCGCGTAAACTATGGACAGTATTTAATATTTTATACAAGATGCGCTGTCGTCCTATTTTAGCTTTGGTTATTCGGAAATCGACATGTTATATGGTTGGGGCATTTCATCTAAAATCAAATGCTACGCTTATCTGTCCTCATCTATCATAGCCATAAGCCATAGGAGAGACAATTTAAAGCGATAAAAATATAATCATCATAAGAAGATATTAATATCAAATAATTCACTTAATTACACGCCAGCTAATAACGGCTGCAAATCGTCGGGGTATAGGCAAGTACATCTGCTATGCCCTCTCCGAGCGAATCTTATGTGTACATTGAGGCACAGATCACGATTGACGGGATCAATGATGTAATGGTAGCAATGCATGGCTTAATCGTGTTTCGATTTCAGTCTGTGGATTTCCGAATATCCAAAGCCAAAATAGGTCGGCCGCCCATCTTCTTTAGCTGCTATTGGCTGGGGTATACACCTAACATCAAGGGAACCCCTTGCCATGTCCTCCTCAATCAATAGAACAAACATCATAGGAAGAACAACGTACTCACCAAAAGGGCTTCTCACCACAACACCGCCTCATTTTTCCAACACACACAACGGAACACAAATATTTATCTATTTATTCCTGTCCATCGTACAACGGAACAGTCCACAGACTAACACAAGTCAATATATTGTCAAAGGCATCACATGAAACCATTATCCATGACTACGTCACTCCGTGGACCATCGTCGTCTCAATTGCTGTTTTACGACCTGGAACGAATTAAAATTTTTCGTTAATAAACTTGTTTGACTTTGTTACAAATATTCTGGGCATGCGCGAATTAATTTATTATAAGCGAACTATATATAGTTCGATAAGACCAGACTGTGTTAAAAAAAGACTTGAAAGAATGGCGTAGATTCGAACGCTGATGATAGTCAAATCTCGTTTCCCCTGTGAGGAACGAAGTGAACGCATTTCTGTATCCGTTCACGGATCAGTTTTATTTCATATCGACTTGCCCTGCCCGACCAAAACAATCAATTGTTTCACCGGGATTTTGAACCCAAGACCTCTCGCGATTAAACGCAACATGTTTATCCATTGAGCTACAGAGGCGGTCAACGGTGGAACACTAATCATGGAATAAGTTAAAAGTTGTCATAGACATTTTTAAAACACCAAGAAGGAGACACTAAGACTCACAACAAAAAGAAACTAAAATAAACTAAAACGCTGTCTGTAGTTTTCGCGAGTAGTTGACGTTACAAGACACATTGAAATAATAACCCTTTAACGGTTATAATATATTTTGCGTTTTAATCCGTTACTTTTTTAAATTTTAAATTAAACAAGAACACCCAATGGATGCATACACAAAATGTGGCAGCCAAAAAATTTGCCTTTTACGCTTTTATATGGAGACATAACAAAACATTTTTTATTTGATTGTGTATGTTTACCACTCGATTCAGATTAAAATTTGGATTTCGAGTACAAACTTCGAGCCAACATAGAATTGATTTATATAAAAGAGATGTTACAAAATCGTACAGTGATAGATACAGAACTCAAATACATTGAAACTAAACATTTTATTTGAAAGCATTAATTCGATGACTTAACAGCAATAAAACAACGATAACTCACGACAAGAGAAGCTTTAAGATAAGAAAACAATGCAGCGTGAAAAAGAGAGGTTATAAGTATGTAATATAAATGTCACACCGCAACACTAAACATGTTTATTGCATTGATTGAACAAGTTATCGATCTCTGAATGCATGCGTATGTTTAGATAACAGATGTAAAATAATAAAATATAGAATCGACGAATACCTTTTCATTTCACACTTAGAAGAAATACGTATGTTTCTCAACGCTTCCTAAGCGCCTGGATTGGAAAGAAATCTGTTTCTATGATAAATCAAAAACGTAATAAAAATAATATTTCTATGGAATTAATTCTCCTACAATGTTTTTCAACCTCAAAATCATAGTGTACATTGTCGTTGGCAGAATGATCGCAAAATACAATATCAATAGCCATTAAAAAAGGTTTTTTTTTTAATACGCGAATAGTTTACGCGAGTAGTACACATTTAAATAAAACTCTTTAACGGTTTAAAACGCGCTATATTGGTGACGGTCACGGGTGACCACGGCTGCTGCAAAGCATCCAAATCGTCGGACCGAAGTTAAAAATCATTTTCAAATAAGTTTAACTAATATATCGCGTTGTAAACCGTTAAAGTATTTTATTTAAAATGTTTCTTTTATGAATAATTTTGACTTCTTTTTGTATACTTATAATTACGTAAAAGCTGCCTGTAGTTTACGCGAGTAGTACACATTTAAATAAAACACTTTAATTGTTTAAAACGCGATATATTTTAGTTAAACTTATTTTTAACTACCGCCCGACGTTTCGGATGCTTATATCGCGTTTTAAACCGTTATTTAAATTTAAAAACTTATTAAAGCACTTTCAACAGAGTTTATTTAGTTTTATACTGTAATTATGATGTATTTCCGATATTTTGAATCCGTATCTGTTAAAATGGTGGTGAGATGCTATCCTGAATAATATTTAAAGCGATCGCTGGTGTAGACTGTGTGATGTGATGTAATGTTTTCAATAAACACATACCCAATACAGTTATCCTTAGCTAATTACAATATCAAACGGTACAAAGGTAAATATTTAACGCCATCTCCGAAAAATCACAGAAATTACATATGCAACGTAGTTGTAACACCTTTACCAAACATCGTCTGTCCCCAGTCACGATGTTATCACCAGAATCAACAGGCAAGGTACATTATTACAACACCCCTTACTGTGTCACTGTGCTAAACTGGATAGCCTTATCAATTTGATTAAATATTATACTATGCTAGAAAAGTAGAGTCAATGCACTCGGTGTTACAAAGAGAGGGCCCTGCCTTGCCTGCTTGTAGTTTTTACGACTGGTACGTGCAAAATAAAACACTTTTAACTGGTTAAAACACTGAAGCTGACAATATAGTGACTAGCTGTGTCAGCGACTTCGTCCGCGTAGAATAGTTTTGGACTTCCAAACTTGTTTTAGCAAACCTCCTTTGAATTTAGGCCGTTACCCGCGACGTCGATCGCGTCCCGTCTTTCTTGCAAGTTAATCTTAAAAGATAGACTTGATGTGTGAGTGAAGATAGAATGATATAAGGAGTAATTTTTTCATAGATGTTTTTTTGGGTACCTTAAACCGTTTTCGCAGCATATGCATCGGACACTCGCAAAGATGAACATTTTTCGCATTTCCCACTGTATCTTCACTTCTATTAGTCACAGCGCGATGTTTTATAGCCATAAAAAAATCAGCTCAAACCAGGAGTTCCTGAGGTTACCGCGTTCAAACAAAGAAACTCTTTAGCTTTATATCTATACTTCTATACTAATATATAAAGCTGAGGAGTTTGTTTGTTTGAACGCGCTAATCTCAGGAAGTACAGGTTCGAATGAAAATTCATTTTGTGTTGGTTAGAACATCTATCGAGGAAGGTTATAGGCTATAACACATTACAAAGTGAGTAATAGGAGCGAAGATACTGCTAGAAATGTGAATAAAACGGGGGGAAATTTTCATCTCTGTAGGTTTCAGATGCGTACGCAGCGAAATCGGTTCCAGATACGTAAAAATTGCAGGAACTAATGATTCCCCTTTAAATGATCTAAATCTAAAAAAAAAATTGCGAAGCTATATGTCTATCTTTTAAGATTAACTTGCAAGAACGACCCGAACGACGGAACGCGTACGACGGGATACGAATATCATGGGTAACAGCTATCTATAGAACACTAATAGAGGAAAGATTTGTATTTTTGTACGTAACGGATAAACTCAAAAAGTACTGGACCGATTTTAATAATTCTTCTTTCATTAGAAAGCTACATTATCACTGAGTAACATAGACTATACTTAGTACTAGATTACGATAGAAATCTTTATACATTTCTATTCAAAGCAACGGGAGGTGTAAAAAAATAGCCATAAAATGTCTTTCATCGCATACGCTGCGAAGAGGATGATAGGACAACAGAATGATTGACAATATTATAGAATATATCAATATCTACAAAAAACATCCCGTGACCATATTGTGTCTAACTATTGTAGTTACGTCACTATAACTACTTTTTTACTTTTAACAAATTGAAAGAAATGCCGACCAAAATCAAACAGTGTTATCCATACCATTTATAAATGTTTATTTAAACAAATCGATACTAACATTATAAATGCGAAAGTAACTCTGTCTGTCCGGCTTTAATTCCGAAACTGCTGAACTGATTTAAATGAAATTCGGTACACACATATTTTAGAACCTGAGAAAGGACATAATATGCTACTTTTTAATGCTAGAAAAGGGTTGATAGAGTTTGAAAAAGGGGATGAAAGTTTGTATGGGAATTCGTGGTTTTTGAAGCTAGAACAATGAAACTTTCTTCTTTGTCCTTTTTCTGAATAGGAGCGGGAGTGGGAGTGGGATTAAGTGTAGGAATGAGAGTGGGAGTTAGAGTAGGAGTGATGTGTGGTGAGAGTGTTGCGGCAAAGTAGCACTTACCATAGATTGGCTGCCTTAATGCGCCCTTACATAAAGTAATAAACAGCCTGAATAATTAAAAATTCTACCCCAAGTCACTATTCCACGCGGGCGAAGTCGCGCGCACAGCTAGTATTACTATATGTAGAAGCATGGGCCGCTCCCGAGCAACATTATCATATAAAAAATATTGTTCTTACTACCCAATGATTCGGATCAATTTATTTTATGTTGTCAGAACGACTGACCGTAATCATTGCTAATATAATTCGCATTTTAAATTGTCGAAGTGTTTAATTAAAATAGTTTTAATTATATACGAATCATATTTTTTTATACTTAGTTATTACAGTTACCAAAGTGGCATTAAATAAAATAGTAATAGATGTACAAGACAGTAGCTAAATAAAGTGGTGTCAGATAGATAAATAGCGTTTTATTTAGTTAAAATCACACTCATTGCTTAACCTGATAATTGCATAAGGCCTAGAAAATATAATATTACACTTTAAATTATATAACTATTGTGTTATTTTCAAACCGGAATTTTTCCCTCTTACTGGCGCCTCGTAACTTTACAAAGTGGTTATAAACGCTATAAGACTATAAAACGTAATTTATTACTATCGGGATTGTTTTTCAGACGTCCTCCGTTCAAATCTTATTCAGCTTTGTCAATGACTTTATAGATATTAAACCAACCAATCTTAGTATCACTTTATTACAAGGAGACAACTATTCACTTGATGGACTTTCAACCTATGAACGATGTTTCGTGACCTTGGATGGTATTTTGGCATTCCTACCACCAATTTTATGACCAGATTTTGTAAAAACTTATAAGATATGTTTATAATGTAAATAATTCACCAGCATAAATAAAACGGTTTAAACGCGAAACTTATTAGTGAAGTTATTTACAATTCATTTCAACTACGGCCCGACAGTATATATGATGTTTAGCAGCCTAATGTCAATCTCCATCTTGAATCCGCCGGTGACCACAGCTG